GCGTGCCTGTAATCCCAGCTACTCAGGAGGTTGAGGCAGGAGAATTGCCTGAACCCGGGAGACGGAGGTTGCGGTGAGCCAATATCGTTCCATTGCTCTTCAGCCTGGGTAATAAAAGGGAAAACCCCTCACAAAAAAAAAAAAAAAAAAAAGAGTCAAAGTTAAGTGGTACCAGCACAGCCTGGGAATGGAGGTGCTGTCAAGTGCGCAGAGCCCCTATTACCTATAAGTTGTATGTCTTTCATGACAACTTTACCCCTCGCACCTAGCACTGTTTTATTTCTCATGTACCACTTTATCTTTTAACTTTTTTGCTTACTCTGCTTTTGTGAAAAATTTGCTTCAGCTAGGTTCCCCCTCCCCTTCAAAACTAGGGTATAAAAGACCACCTAACTTTTTCTAAAGGGCCGAAAGAATTTTGGGCGTTAGCCACCTCTCCGTCACTGGGTTGATAAAGGACTCATAATTCAATCTCAGAGTGTGGTGCATTCCTTGACTTGCTCAGGTACAAAAGATGGGAGTTCAGGAACGCAGCTGCGGAGGGCTGGTCAGCTTGCATGGAGGGGGTTTTCTGAGGCAGCTTGTCCCTAACAGAAAGATGGAATATTTCTTTTCAGTCTACTTTTGGAAAGTTCGCGTTACCTGGCCTTAGATTCACTGCCCCCAGACCCAGGAACCAAGTGCTTCTTTTTCTTTCTTTTTTTTTTAAATCAGAGATGGCAAGATCATACCTCACTGCAGCATCAACCTCCTGGGTTCAAGGGATCCTCCCACCTCAGCCTCCAGAATAGCTGGGACCGAAGCCAGCCGTCATATCGAGCTAATTTTTGTGTTCTTTGTAGAGACGAGCTTTCACCATGTTTTTCAGGCTGGTCTCCATCTCCAAAGGTCAGGTGATCCAGCCGCTTCAGCTTCCCAAAGAGTTGAGATTACAGATGTGAGCCACCACGCCCAGATTGTTTTTTAATTAATAATAATAAAAACAATTAGCTGGGTGCATATGCTTATGCCTGTAATTTCAGCACTTTCAGAGGCTGTGTAGGCCAATCACCTGAGGTCAGGAGTTTGAGACCAGCCCGGCCAACATTGTAAAACCTCACCTCGACTAAAATACAAAAATTAACTGTGTGTAATAGTGGGCATCTGTAATCCGAGCTACTCGGGTGGCTATGGCAGGAGAATCTCTGGAATCCAGGAAGCAAAGTTTGCAGTGAGCTGAAATCACACCACTTCACTCAAGCCAGGCACAGAGTGAGACTCTGTCTCAAAAAAGTCAAATAAATATTCTTAAATAAGCTTTGGTAGGATCTTATGAGCTCACATGGTGGGTTTCCAACTATGATATGTGTTCAAAATTTTTTCTTTGACCCCACATTTTATTAGCTATATTGTTTTAACCATTTTAAAATTGTTTATCTCCAAAATTTATTATGTTCAGTTTACATTGAGAACTGTATGCTTTCTCGTCTATATCATATGTTGGAAACATTTTCTACTACCTGAGAAATGGTTTTAGGTTGTTTCAATGTGTGCTTACTAAAGATATCAAGGACCTTTTTTCTTTCTGATAATGTCAAAATTTGGTTCAAGTAGTCTGTTAATCCATTTTCTTATGTCATCTGATAAAACGATGAGCTGTGAGCTTCTAAGTAAGCATTGCCCTCAAGGTCCTCTGGTCCATAGTATTCTCTGCATAAGTTAAAGGAGCTGGATTGACTTGGGAGCTTGTTTCAGCAGAACCCATGTGTTCATGAAGAAAACACTTGCTCACATCTCATTTCTACCACTGCCTCTCTTTCACTGTTTTAAACACCTATAGCTGTGTGTTCACAATTGTGTCTATTTTGAAAGTATTCCTGTCATTTTTCTGGGAAAATAATTACATGTTTAGGATTCATGCATGAGAACCTTAGGCATTGTAAGAGACCTTTCTTTTGTTCAGATTTATAAAAGATGGTCCTGGAATTATTTTTGTTCCATTTTTTGAGACAGAGTGTTACTCTGTCACCCATCCTTGAGTGCAGTGACACAATCTTTGCTCACTGCTATTGTGGAGACCAGTTCCCAATATATCAACGTGGATTCAATGTCTCTCAAAGTGATCAAGTGGTCGGTGAAAAGAAAGACAAAGAAACCTTTTTTTTTTTTTTTTTTTTTTTTTTTTTTAGAGGGTTTTTTTTTTTTTTTTTTTTTTTTTTTTTTTTTTTAACAGCTGGGCCCAGGGAGACACCATGTAATGCTGCGCTGTGGATGTCTAACATGCCCCTGAAAACCTCAGTTTTTTATTAGGCTCTTTCAGTAGGGGAGGGTCAGTAAAGTTACACAAAGTTTCAGTGATAATTATACAAATAAAGGCCGGGCGCGGTGGCTCACGCCTGTAATCACAGCACTTTGGGAGGCCAAGGCGGGTGGATCACGAGGTCAAGAGATTGAGACCATCCTGGTCAACATGGTGAAACCCCGTCTCTACTTAAAATACAAAAAATCAGCTGGGCATGGTGGTGCGTGCCTGTAATCCCAGCTGCTCAGGAGGCTGAGGCAGGAGAATGCCTGAACCCGGGAGGCGGAGGTTGTGGTGAGCCGAGATCGCGCCATTGCACTCCAGCCTGGGTAACAAGAGCAAAACTCCGTCTCAAAGAAAAAAAAAAAAAAAAAAAAAAAAAAAAAAAAAAACATAAAATGTCAGCAGAGCGCTGTGGCTCATGCCTGTAATCACAGCACTTTGGGAGGCCAAGGCGGGTGGATCACGAGGTCAAGAGATTGAGACCATCCTGGTCAACATGGTGAAACCCCGTCTCTACTAAAAATACAAAAAATCAGCTGGGCATGGTGGCGCGTGCCTGTAATCCCAGCTACTCAGGAGGCTGAGGCAGGAGAATTGCCTGAACCCGGGAGGCGGAGGTTGTGGTGAGCCGAGATCGCGCCATTGCACTCCAGCCTGGGTAACAAGAGCAAAACTCCGTCTCAAAGAAAAAAAAAAAAAAAAAATTATACAAATAAAAAACATAAACAAAAACTATTGACCAAGGATCACAACATGATATTGTAAATGCAGAACCATGTAAAAATTACTTTTTGTGGGTTAGCATAAAAAACATATACCTTAGCAAGAGTAGAGGTTAAACATAAACTTACAATTACCAGCAAGAAACGCACTGGGCCCACAGCTGCAGGGAGAATAGTATCTGATACAGGACAACCAGCCTGACCACAAAACTGCAAGAGGGGGGATCCCCCTCCTGCAGGCCTGGAGGAGCAGTGGTAAAAGAAAGACTTTTACATCCTTATCTCAGCCACTGAGGTTTTTCCTTAACAGACGCCCCTCATGCATCTGTTTATAGTCTCTCCACAAGGGTCGCATTCCCTTTCGGGGGCCATAATCAATATGCCTTTCCTGAGAAAGAAATCTGCGTAATGAGCCTCTCCATTGCACAATAGCTCGGCAGAGCCAAAGTTACAAGTTATAGCTCAGTTTTTCACATTATTCTTTACTTTTCTCAAATAATTGATGCAGTAAGTAACAAGCATCGCAAAGCAAATAACTCATTTCAGGGGTTAAAAATCAACAATTTCTTCATGTTATTTTAGATAGCTTGGGTTTTGCCAATTCTTCCGTAAGCTTGGGGTTGCTCAGCTACCACCTAGGGGTCCATAGTGTTCCCAGCAACAGCAACCTCTGCCGCCCAGGCCCAAGTGACCCACCCCAGTCAGCCTCCCAAATAGCTGGGATTACAGATGCACACCACCATGCGTGGCTAATTTTTTGTACTTTTGGTAGACATGAGATTTCAACATATTGCCCAGGTTGGTCTCAAACTCCTGGGCTCACGTGATTGACCCACTTCAGCCTTCCAAGGTGCTGGGAATGCAGTGTGAGCTACCATGCCCTGCCCATTCTGGAATTTTCTAGAGAAGGAAGACCAATGCAACCTGTTGGCCCTTCCAGGCCATCACATTGGAATCAGCCACACTTTTCCTAATCAACTCAAAGTTTCTCAGGATAACTCAGTGTAATATCCCTTGCTCTAAAGCTCAGTGAGCCCACCTGTAATATACAGCTGTGGAATAAGACCACAACAGCTCAAAGTGACACTGACCCCTGAAATGATTGGCCAGATGGAGTGTTGCTTTTCCTGTAGGAGAGGGTAATGCTCAGGTGTAGTTTGAATTTTAAATGGATTCTGGTTCTCCTTAAATATAAAAACCACAAATACCAGAATGGAAAAAACAGGGAATTAGACTCAAATCACCTTGAACTTTTTCATGTCTCTGTCCACACAAACTGCCCCTCCTTATCATCTGATCTCTCGGCTTTCACCCAGCTGCACGGCTCCGTGTCCCCTGCAGGCCTCTCCCCTGAGCTCTGCAATGCTGTGTCCAGTTGGCTCCTTAGCTCTGCTGGGACATCACACAGACATCTCTACCTTCACATTTTCATCAATGACTTCCTAAACCCTCCTACACATTCCCTGCAGTCCTGCACGTCTCAGATGAGGGTGAAGTGTACTTCTGAGGGTTAGCTAAACTTGACAGCATGTATTTTAAATATGGGAAATAAACTGGACTCTTGAGAGAACAAGTCCCCAAGGGAAGAGCAGAACCAGAAGGTGGGGCTGTACTGGGCTGGCGCCCTCTGAGTGGAGCTCAGCCCTGACTTCACATTAGGGTGCTCAGGCATTTTGCAAATACATCTTTTATGCTGTTGCATCAGAGATTGCTATTATCATAGGGTGGGACCTACCCTCAATAATACTTACATTGGTGCCGGTGATTCTCATCTGTGCCTAGCACTGAACAACAAGGCAGTTTCCTCCATGTTGAGAGCTGGGAGGAGCCTTTGATCCACAGGAAGGTGATGGGCTATGCTCTGCATGGGGCTTGGTGAGGGCCACCTGGGTGCCCTGAAGATCTGTGCCCTGATGCAGTGTGTGTGTGGACTTTTCCAGAAGAAAATCAAGATCTGACGATGTGTAAAAATTACCTTGTACGTCCTTATGTAGGATGCTCTTATCTCTACATAATCTCTGGTGCAGTGGGCAGCAGAGGACAGTCTTTCTACAAGGTGAGGTCTCCCCTATGTGTGTCTTTTGTCTCAGGAAAAAAGTGAGTGCTTTTTTTTTTGTTTTTTGTTTTTGAGACAGAGTTTCACTCTTGTTGCTCAGGCTGGAGTGTAATGGCGCCATCTTGGCACACCACAACCTCTGCCTCTCAGGTTTAAGCAATTCTCTGGCCTCAGCCTCCCAAGTTGCTGGGGTTACAGGCATGTGCCACCATGCCTGGCTGATTTTTTCTATTTTTAGTAGAGATGGAGTTTCTCCGTGTTGATCAGGCTGGTCTTGAACTCCTGATCTCAGGTGATCCACCCACCTCAGCCTCCCAACGTGCTGGGATTACAGGCATGAGTCACTGCGCCCAGCCAACTGTGTGGTTTTTAAACATTAAATAATTGTCTGGTGCAGTGCTTCACACCTGTAATTGCAGCTGTTTGGGAGGCTGTGGTGAGCAGAGCACAAGGTCACAAGATCGAGGCCATCCAGGGTAAGATGGTGAAACCTAGGCCAGGCGTGGTGGCTCAAGCCTGTTATCCCAGCACTTTGGGAGGCCGAGGTGGGTGGATCACGAGGTCAAGAGATCGAGACCATCCTGGCCAACATGGTGAAACGCCATCTCTACTAAAAATACAAAAAAATAGCTGAGTATGGTCGTGTGCACCTGTAGTCCCAGCTACCCGGGAGGCTGAGGCAGGAGAATTGCTTGAACCCAGGATGTGGAGGTTGCAGTTAGCCGAGATTAGGCCACTGCACTCCAGCCTGGCGCCTGGCGACAGAGCTAGCCTCTGTCTCAAAAAAAAACCAAAAAAACACCGGGTGTGGCAGCTCACGCCTTTAATCCAAGCACTTTGGAGGCCAAGGCGGGTGGATCACCTGAGGTCAGGAGTTCAAGACCGGCCTGACCAACATGGTGAAACCCCATCTTAAAAAGAAACAAACAAAAAAATTAAAACAAAAACAACAACAACAACAACAAAAAACAAAAGATGGTGAAACCTGTCTCTACTAAATATACAAACATTAGCTGGGAATGGCAGCGTGTGTTTGTAATCCCACCTACACGGGATGCTGAGGCAGGAGAATCACTTTAATCTGGGTGTCAGACATTGCAGTGAGCTGAGATTCTGTTATTGAACCCCAGCCTGCCAACGGAGGTAGACTTTGTCTCAAAAATAAATAAATAAATGGCCGGACGCGGTGGCTCACGCCTGTAATCCCAGCACTTTGGGAGGCCGAGGCAGGTGGATCACCTGAGGTCAGGAGTTCGAGACCAGTCTGACCAATATGGAGAAACCCCGTCTCTATAAATAAATAAATACATACATACATACATACATAAACTAAAAAATAAATAAATAAATAAATTTCATGTTTTTTTTCACATACAGGATTGATTTCCAAAGACTCATGTTACGTGAGGAAGCCACCAGGAAGACCAAAGAAAAGGAGCCCGGGATGCCTCTTGCTCAGGTAAAATGATAGTCCTCAGTGGCTTATTGTGTCGTTTTTTTGATTCTGAAATACCAGGTATTGTGGTAGCCAGTCTTCTGTAAGCCCGAAGCATCCTGCCTAGCATGTGTGCTCACACTCACCCATGCCATTTCTCAGTGCTTCTTATCTCCACTTAAATTCCATCTCCTATAACTCAGTGATGTGAGCTTGAGAAGAGGCTGCACTGGGCATGGTCCTGGGAAGGGCTCACCCCAGACATGGATGGAGATGGGGTGTGGGCCTTGTGATGTCTGTGGTGTTGAGCAGCAGGGAATGTTCAGGGACCACATCAGGATACACATTTAACTCTGTGGACCAGATGAGAGAAGCTCTATATGATAGTCATACATTAATGTGCACTGGTTTCTGGAGGGGAAAAGGAGATATGTTAGGGGAGTTTTTTTTTTATTTTTATTTTTTTGAGACAAAGTCTCACTGTCACCAGGCTGGAGTGCAGTGGCACCATCTTGGGTCACTGCAACCTCTGCCTACTGAATTCAAGCAATTCTTATGCCTCAGCCTCCCGAGTAGCTGGGATTACAGAAACGCATCACCATACCCAGCTAATTTTTGTAATTTTAGTATAGACAGGGTTTCACCATGTTGACCAGAATGGTCTCAATCTCCTGACCTCATGATCCACCTGCGTCAGCCTCCCAAAGTGCTGGGATTACAGGCATGAGCCACTGTGCCTGGCCTAGGGGAGCTATTTTGTGTCTGATTTTTCAATGCATTTGAAGCTACATTAGTGAATCAGTATGTCTCTGACTCCAAACTTTTTATTTTAAAACACAGGGTGTCACTCTGGCATTCAGTCTGAAGTGCAGTGGCACAATGCTAGTTTACAGCAGCCTCGAACTCCTGGGCTCAGGTCATCCCTACATTAGCCTCCCAAGTGCTAGGGTATCAGGCACGTGCCATCATGGCTGCTATTTTTTTTTTATTTTTTAGTATGTAGAGTTGGGGACTTGCTGTGTTGTCTAGGCAACGGTGACATGGCAAAATCATAGCTCACTATAACTTTGAACTCCTGGCCTCAAGTGATCCTCCCACCTCAGCCTCCCAATCTACTGGGTGACAGGTGTGAGACAGCCAGCACAGTGGGACTCTGCACGTTTACTGGCTTGGAATAGAATGGAAAGTGGAGATAGACATCAGTGGTAGAGGTGGCTTTATTCCATCCTTGACTATGAATCATGTAATCAGTATGAATATCTGACTACTGGGGATTCTTCAAATCATTCTCAGCACTTTGACCCCACAAAGATTTTTTTTTTTCAGGGCCCTGATTAATCAGGCATTTTAGAAAAAACGGATTATGTTTGCTCTGACATAAGACGAGAAGTTATTTTGTTAGAGAGAATGAAGGCATTTTTTTCTACCCATTATTAGAAAATGTTTATTTTAAACATCACACAACATATATATGCGTTGTCTAGTAAAACTCCAAAGAAAGATGCACTATGCATCCCCTTTCTTATCCAGCCTTCCACTTGTTCCTGTGTCTCAATGGGGAATCCCTGTTAAGAGTTCTGTGGCGGCCAGGAATGATGGCTCACACCTCTAATCCCAGCACTTTGGGAGGACAAGGCAGGTGGATCATGAGGTCAGCAGTCGAGACCAGCCTGCCCACCATGGTGAAACCCTGTCTCTACTAAAAATACAAACATTAGCTGGGCATGGTGGCACACACCTGTAATCCCAGCTACTCAGGAGGCTGAGGCAGTTTTATTGCTTGAACCCAGGAGGCAGAGGTTGCCAGAGCTGAGATCATGCCACGGCACTCTAGCTTGGATGACAGAGCAAAATTCCATCTCAAAAACAAACAAAGAAAAAAAGCGTTCTGTGGCAAGTCAGCGCAATCTTAAAGAAATGTTTTCATACATTGTTGGAAGATGTTTTTTAAATTCTTTGATGAATGGATTTTTTTTGCATATTGTTTGAGACAGGGTCTCATTCTGTCACCAGCCTGGAGTGTAGTGTCACAATGAAACCTTTGCCTCTCAGGACCAAATGAGTCTCATGCTTCAGCCAACTGAGAAGTTGCAATTACAAACAGGAGCTACACACCTAGATAATTGTTTTATTAGTCAAGATGGGGTTTCATCATGTTGGCCAGGCTGGTCTCCAACTCTTGGCCTCAAGTGATCCTCCCACCCTGGCCTTCCATAGTGCAGGAATTTTAGGTGTGGGCCTTGGGCCCGGCCTGATGAATGTTTTGTTGTGTTTTATCCTGAAAATTTTGAAAATTTCCATGTTTTCAAGGTAGAAAACAAGACAAATTGTTCTTTTAAATCCTCCTTGGAG